TCGCCGCCCCAACGCCGTCCCCGGCGCCGTCCCCGACGCCCGCGCCCACTGGGGACTGCGGTGGTTGGAAACCTAGCCAGGACATCGTTCACAGTGGTGCGCGTGCCCACGCCGAATGCAACAGCGTGGTGTCCTCCGACAGGAAGATGTAAAGCTCGTTGCGAGGCGTGCGATGGTTGCACTGCTTGGGTAACAGATTCGCCAGCTGTGGGAGCGATCATCCCATGATGGATTGTTACTGGCTCCGTGGAGTGGGGGAACTCCTTCAGAAACGGCGGGGTACCTTGCTCGTCGGCTTACACGCCTACGCCCCCAGCGGCACCCTCCCCGACGTCAGCGCCGACGCCGTCCTCAACGCCCACGTCGGCGTCAACGTCGACGCCCAAGCCCAGCGCCCGCGCCGACGCCGACGCCAGTGCCGCGAGCGCCGACCGCGACCTGCCACACGGCTGTGCCCGAGGAGAAGTGTTGCGTCCAAGCCGCGTGGGCGCATCAGGATGGTATCCGCTCGTTTCCGCAGTGGTACCCCGGCTTGTCTCAGGAGTCTTCCTTCGAGGAGTTCCAGCGGCATTTGTGGAGTCCACGGCCTCGCGAAGTGTTCCGAGCTTTGCGCGGCTGCAGCGCCGCGGCCGACCTTGCACCGACTCCTGCGCCGACCGCTGCTCCAGATATGCATTGTACTCCACTGGGATACTCTGCAACGGCCTGCTCTGGGACGGGTGCATACCTTCCACACGCTCTGCTTTACCCAGCGTGGACAATTTCGCTGCGAAGCGCACCAGTGACCCCGACTGCGAGAGCTTCTTACACAAGGGCGCTTCAGTTGCTGCCTCTCGGCAACATTCCGGCAAATTCCGCGATTGCTCTTCCCCCCCCCTCCTATCAAGACATTGGAGGTAACAGCAGCACAGTCACACTGTATCAGAAGACCTTTGTGGCTGCGCCTTTCCGCACCGACGCCAGCGCCGACCGCGGCCTGCCACGCGGCCGTGCTTCGCGAGTAGTGTTACGGCCACGCCGCGTCGGCGCATCAGGATGGTATCCGCTCGTTCCCGCGGTGGTATCCCGGCTTGCCTCGGGAGTCTTCCCTCGAGGATTTCCAGGAACATTTGTGGGCGCACGCGCTGTACGGGTGCGAGAGGCCATGCAGGCAGTAGCCGCAGACTTCAGGCAGTGCCATGCCCGCTCTCGCCTTGAGTCTGGAGGATCTCGTCGGTGCAATGCCACTGTTTGCTGTATGTGTCAGGGGGAGTTTGAGTTTTTTCACCTTTGGGTCGATCCTCCCTTGCGCCCTGCGTCGGGCTGGCCCGACTCAGCGTCCGCCAACGTCGGAACATAGTTCGCGTCGCGCCGATTCGCGTCGCGTCGAGGATTGCAGGAACGTGGCCATTAGGTGCACCTAAATGGCCCTAGGCTCACCGCGGGCCCAAAAGGTGCCCGAAAGGTGCATTTTTCTTCACTCCCCGTTTGCTGCCCTCCATGAACGAACACCCCGAGGTGCGCGCGGCCCTTCGGCACCAGATGCTCGGCAGCCCACTCGAGAATTGTTTCTGCGAACAGGTATCCACCGCACGAATCCGGCACAGTACGTGCAGTGCCGGGGGTGGCGGACCGTCTCCCCATCCTGCCATCAAAGGGGGATGCGAAGTCCCTGGAGACGGGACGGGGTGGGCATTGGCTGGCATCATAGCCGACCCACAATCAATGGAGGCATCAAAGCCTCTGACCATCATACTGTCTAGGCTGATCCACTCACGGATCCAACACCTCATCTTCTACTCAATTCATTCCATGCGTAGCATGCTCTCCCTGATTGGGCCGTGAACGGGACCCAGTCCCCTGTCGGCCGTCCAGTGCCTGTCATAGAACTCATAGAACTCATGGAATTCAAAGGGAATGGGAGGGCCACGTTGCTCCTGCCTCCTGGCTCGTTCTTCGTTCTCTCCCCCTCCTGTTCTGTTTCTCCCCTCTTTCGCCCTTCCTTCCCCCTCCCCTCCCGCTTCCCCTCTCCACCGCCTCTTCTGCCCAAGGGTACAGGTTTCCGACTTACCTCGCTCACAGGACCCCCCCCCAAGCGACGCCGCAGGAGACTCGCTTGCAGCATGGCGGACCGTGGACATGGGCAGCGTCAGGCGATGGGCGACTTCGACCCCAAGGGCTACCGCGACGACCACTACCGCGACCAACCTTCCCATCGTAGGGCAAGGTCGGGCCGTGACCATCATAGGTCTAGGTCCAAACCCATCGCACGGGACCATCGCAGGCCCGCGGCGGGGATGGGCCGCGACCATCATAGGTCTAGGTCCAGGTCCAGGGCACGTGACCATCACAGGCTCATGCCGCGGACCACGGGTGGCCACCATGAGGCCCCCACCCGGCCCCTCTCACCAGACCGCCTGCTCTGCCCTAACTGTGGCATCCGCGGACACCTCGCCAGGGACTGCCCTGCGCAAAGCCCCGGACTCCCAAGGAAGCCACCGCCTGCCTCGCCGATCGGGGCTGCCCCCGGGATGGCGCACGGCCTGACACCGAAGGCATCGCCGGCGGCGCGGTCGCCCCACCTGCCGCTGGCCTATCCCGCCAGGCAGTATGATCCTCACCACGGTGCCCAGTACTTCGATCGGGCTCCGCGCCGGGAACAGGACCCCCGTGGCCCCCGCGACCTCCCAGCCACCAGGGACCACGGGCAAGGCCAGGCCTACCCACCCAACCACGTCGGCGCGCCGGAGAGCGGGGTGCAGGCCGCCAAGAGTGCCATCCAAAAGCTGTCCGACATTGAGGTCCGCGAGCTACTCTTCTCGGGGGGCGCCGTTGCATCTAAGCTTCTGGAAACGGCTCACGCCCCCCCCCCGACTACAAGCCCGACATCCCGTTCGGCACGGAGGACTTCATCAATGAGCGCAAGAAATGCAACGCCGAGATGATGCGCAGGTGCATCTTCTTGTGCACCGCCAAGACCCGGAGGGAGATCTCCCAGAACGCCGAAGAGTATTGCCCCTACATCATGCGGGCGCAAGCCAGGCGCAACCTGCAAAAGATTGTGCCGTTCGTGCCCCTCGACTCGGACACCTTCTCCTTCTCGGTTTTCCTAGCTTGGATCTCGACCCAGAGCCCGTGCAAACGAGCCGAGCAGTCCACGTCAGGCGAGTGCCTGTCCCGCCGCCCTTCTTGCAGACCAGGGCCAGGCGCATGTCGAGGCTACGGAGGCGATCCCTGAGGCGCAGCCTGCGTCGGCTCACACGCTCCGGGCACTCTCAGGAAGGGGTCGGGCATCCCAGAAGACGGTCACCCAGTACGCGCTCGACGACATCAAAAAGTTCAAGCCTGACCGCATGCACCAGGCCAGGAACACGAAGACTATCGACTGGGCCATGGGCGAGGCCGTGCCGACGGAGGACTCCCCAGCGTCGGATCGGCAACGCTTCGCAGTCTACCGCAAGGCGCTCGATGCCATCGTGGCGCCCAAGGGCCGGTCGAAGAAGCCAGACCCGAAGGTCCTCGCGGTCTTCAAGGACAAGGCGTCCGAGCTCGGCGTTCGCTTCGACGAGAAGCGATTTGGGGACTTGTCGCAGCTCCTGGCGGCCATCATGGCCAAGACGCGCTCGACAGAGATTTGACTATCTTCCCGTACACGCGCAGGAGCGCACCGCGCAAGCGGTGGTGTTTGGGATCTTCACGACGACGGGATGCCATGCATTTCCAGAACCCCTGAGATCCGATTTTGCAACATCACCTCTCTGGCATTGGTCCGCCATGCCTTCCACAGCGTGTACGCCGAGAATGTCTTCGTATGGCCATGCATTTTTGCACTCATTCGCATGGGCATTGCTCTCACCGCACCCTTCCTGATGTCCTCCACCACCGCCTTCTACAGCAAGCTCCGCACACTTGCATCCTCACTCCCATCCTCTACATGGCCACCGTCGCCGGACCTCCTGCATGCTGAATTTGTCGTGTACATAATATGGAGTTCCTGGCATAAGCATTACTACGTTGGCAAGACGGTCGACTTCCAAGCCCGCGTGCGCCGACACCTACAGGGACTTCTCTATCCAGGCAACTACAATCTAGTTGGTAACCCTTTGGTCCAGACTTCCCGCCTGCAGACCTTACCTGGTAACCCTTTGGTCTTAACTCGTGCAAGCTCGTGCAAGCTCAGCAGGTTGTGATCGTCACCGGGACTCGGAGTCAAAACGGTGTATACGTTACTTGGCTTCCCACTCACAGGACCAGGCGCGGAGGTAGAGGGGTGGGGAGGGGAGGGAGGGGACACTCATAGAATTCAACAAAATCCCCACGAACCCGGCACAGTACGTGCAGTGCCGGGGGTGGCGGACCGTCTCCCCATCCTGCCATCAAAGGGGGATGCGAAGTCCCTGGAGACGGGACGGGGTGGGCATTGGCTGGCATCATAGCCGACCCACAATCAATGGAGGCATCAAAGCCTCTGACCATCATACTGTCTAGGCGGATCCACTCACGGATCCAACACCTCATCTTCTACTCAATTCATTCCATGCGTAGCATGCTCTCCCCTGGATTCGGCCTTGTTTAGCCGCACGGCCATAACAAAGCCTCACGACTCGGGCTTTGTACACTCTCTGACTTTCACCGCTGTCGGTAAGTGGCAACGTTGAGCTTCGCATTGTTGCAGTGCGCGCAGTTCCCTGGCAGAGTCGATCTGATCGGACCAGCTCGTCCGCACGAGCCAGGCGACGGGAAAGTTTGGAGGTGCGCAGCCGACCGAGCTGTGCAACGAACGACGAAAATACGCTGCTTCGCACGTCCAGGAATGCGAATCCCGTGATCGCTTTGGAGCCAGCTGCGGTTTCAGGCTTCTTCTGCTGCTGCCCCTCGCCCCTGCCTGAGGTCCAGACAGCAGTGCTAGTTGGCCACCTTGCTGCCTGCTCCTCCCGCCCTCCTTCCTTCTCTCCTCCAACCTCCTGGCTCCCCCCTCCCTCCTCCTCTCTCCCTTCCCCTCCCCCCCCTCGGCTCCGGAGGACAGGCTGGCGAAGGAGGCAGAGCCGCGGCTCGGGGAGTTCGTGCCGCAAGACATGGCCATGTGCGCGTGGGCCTTCGCCAAG